AAGATTGGATGAGTAAAAAATGAATCCCACCTTAATCTGCTAACGAGCTGCTGCAAATCCCATTGCCTCATACAGATCAGTCAGTGTCCTCTTGGCAATGGCGTTGGCCTTGGCAGCGCCGTCGCAAAGAACTTGATCCAGGTAGCTCTCATCGCTCATCACCTCTGTGTAACTTTTCTGTTACCATGCGAAAACGAGTAAGAAGTGCGATACAAGACCACATTTAGCTCAAACTACCACCTGAATAGGATCCAGATGTTCGACCAATGCATCTGTGAGCAAAATCTTGAATGCGCCCCATGTCAAGTCCTTGCATTCAGCTTCCACTTCCTACACGTTAAGAAAAAGGTATGCGATGTTGGTCAAGAAAATTGATGGATATGGAGAAACTAGACCTGTCTTGACTTCCCGCTCACTAACTGGTACACAGACAGCAAGTTGCTACATTCTGGCCTTTCGGGATTGTCAAACTCCATCCTGTAAAGAAACCAGTTAGTTGCAAGCCTGGCTACTCGTAGAAATACTTACCCCGTCAAGGAATCTGTTTTACACCGCTTAATTTTGTATGCAATATCCTGCAAACAATGCCATTGGAGAACAAAAACTAGAGCAGCATGCTTACGCACGTCACGTGTATCGAGCATGTTGATCCGAGATTGGTCTGACGCCGCCGATTTCGACATCTTTATAGCAAAAAAACACCAACCAGTACGCTTAGAAACTTAGCTGGAACACAAGTTTTTAAGCAAAGCTCATGCAAAAAACTATCATTCGACAGAGGAAGTTCCATTTACCTTCGATGTTCCGTCAGTAAGCGACATGATACGCGCCCCGGTCTTTGGAATTAAAGCTTCTGGAACCTGAAACATCTTTTTCGAGCTTAATGTCGGGCTGGTAGTATAGGGTCTGCACCTTAAAAATGCGCCCTCCGCGCCTGTATGAAATATAATCAATGCATTTGCAGGCATGGAAAGAAAAACCTACCCTCCCAGTTTTTTCCATTTACGACCTCCATATGTAGAGTTTATTCGTTCTGCAACATCACGAGTCAGTTCCAAGTGCTGACGCTGGTCATCGCCGACAGGGACAAGATCTGTCTGTTCTCTCGAATCAGAAAAACAAAATGTGATGGAGCAAACACAAGGACTACCTGATAGAGCAGTATATCTGATGCCATGAGCAAAGGGTAAGTTAGAAGTCCAGTTCCTACGTCCTCACCCTGAAAACCGAATGAAGGAACGAAAAGGAGACAAGCTTTCAAATACCTGTCTTCGTGATTTTTCTTTGAATTGGATCATTTTGTTAAGCCAGCTGATAGGTGTAACGCAGCTCAAAAGCCAGGTTAGTTCCGCATGAGCTTTAACATGAGACTGAACAAACATGGCAGCCTGCAGCAAACTCGCAAGCTCAAATGGGAGTAAAACAATCGATAAATGAGTGATTACCTTGGATGGATCAACACCGCATGCAAGGTACATAGCCGCCGCTGCCTTTGTTGCCTTTAACAATTCCTCGGGAACGTGTGGCAAAGTTATCTACGATAATGGCATTAGAGAATCCAGCATAAAATCCCAAGAACACTCACGGCATGGAGGTCGACAACAAAAAAGTACGTGTCGTATAATTCCTGCATCGCAAATCGAGAATGGATAGAGAAAAGGAACTTGAATTTACAAAGCAAAGAAAAAAACCTGTAGTTCGATCCAGTTCTTGATAGCCCCGAGATAATTCCCCAAGTGAATTGTCCCCGTTGGCTGGACTCCAGACACCACCCTTTTTCTCGTCTGGATCCGAGGCGCGGAAGAATCATACTTGAGAGACGCAGGGGCCGCCACTTGAGCTGCGGCATTGTGCTCCGCCAGGCACGGGAGTTTGCGCAGCCGAGAACGATCCTGCAAGCTAACGGCAGCGTCGATTCAAGACGGCGCCCGGCATTTCCAGCTCCAATCGATCCAAACATACCAGAGAGGCGAGAGAATCGCTGCCGCTGCCGCTGCGCCACACATCCCACGCTAAAACCCTAGAGGTAATCTCCTTCGAAATATTTGCCCGCGCTTTATGCAACCATATATCCAAACAACACTGTACATTATAAGCGTAGATATTACATCGCAGGAACTTTACTCGATTTCCATTCCTTGAATGAAATCGTCCTCGTCAGTGTCAGCCTCATTGTCAAGGCTTTCATCAGCTGCTAGTTTGCTAAGAACAAGGGAAAAAAAACCGAAAGAAATCACGAGAGGAAAAATATGGTAAAGAAAAACTTTACCTCACGCTTTGGCAGCTGAAGTAAAGCACGCGTTTTAGCTTCTTGTTGTAGAAGAAGTAATTGAAGGACCATCTACACAATCTCCCACTCGCTATAATCTATCAGCCGCAAAAACAACCGCAAGTTACTCACATCATGCCACCGTCGTTGAAAGGCCCGACTTGAAACTCTGGTGAGAAACTGTATATGTCACAGTCCTTGATGTCTATCACCTGGAGAAAGAAATGAATGAAATGTATAAAACACCTAGTGCGCAAGAGCTGCGTACCTCGTCGACTACTTCCCAGATAGCATCGATGAGAAGAGAACTATTTCCTAGCTCCGAAGCCCAAACCTGGCAGAGTTTTCACTTTCTTAGTCATAAACAAACTTCCAGTAAGATACAGAAAAGCAAAACACTACCCGAGTCGCCTCTAACAGATGATAACCGATGCTCTCCTTCACACCAAGAGGATTTTCTTTCGAGAAATGGTGCGCACGCAGAGTACTGGGCTCCCAGAGAGTATTAGAAGGAGATCAAAATGAGGAAAAAACGAAAGAACCACCACCACGTCTACGGATAAAAAAATGGAAATGGAGAGACTTGAACTCTCAAGCCCCTCACGGAGCAACGGCATTCACCGTTTGTCAACATTGGACATCACTTCCAGAAAGTATAGAGGAAAGGTCGGGTTGCTAAAAGCCACTGTTGTACCCGGAAAAAACTGGTTACCTGAAATCGTAGTCTGGATACATATGAGACAGCGTCAGTATGAGATGAATCAGCGTCCTCCGACTAAAGAAAAACCAAGAAAAACGTAAGCAAGAAAGAAAGAAAGCAAGGAGAGTTGCAATTAAAGTGTGTACCTCGACAAGCTAGAGAGGGGGCCAACAGGCGAGGAGGAAAGGTTTTGCGGTGACATTTCAAGGGAGTCAAGAACCTGAAACAAAAGGAAGACAAAAATCTCGCATAGTTCTAAGAAAATGTGAGCCAAGATATCACGACTTACTTCTTGCTCTATGCTGCGAGAGAGCTTCTTGTCCGTGCCAGCAAGCTTGCCTGTGCAATAGAAAGCTTTCTGTCATTTTGATCCTTTGTGGAAGTCAAACTTACAGGAGTAAGCTTCAAGAACCCCTTTGAGACGACAATCCCCAAGATCCAAATTGCTTAGAAATCCATTTATCCTGCCCGTGGGAGAACTGCTCAGCGCAAGAGCCTAGCTAGAATCTAGTAGCAAGAGAAGTACCTTGTGAAAGGTGTGTATTCGAGGAACTTCATGGCGATGGTAGATCAAATTGGTACTGGCGAGATGGCGCTGCGAGAAAAGAATCGTGGTGTTGGAACTAGAGCAAGAGAGAACAAGGTTGCTCGTTTACCTGACACGCGCAGACCATCAAGGCGAGACAAAAACCTAATGTGGGCAGTAGAGAAAATATGCTCCAAAGGATATACTACCACATCATCCGGAAAAATAGCCTTGAGCTAATAAAGGAATGGTTAAACTGCCATTTTGCCCAAGAATCAGCAATGGTCATTCATTGCCGGATGATCGCAATCGAGTCTAGATTTCTTTTTCCTTCTGGTCCTTTGGAGTAGAAATCCGAGACGTTATCCCGGAAGAGAACTTCACCGTAGAGGCGAGGATTTTGCTCGTCAATGAGCTCCGGAGCGGGAGAGATCCTCGTGTTCTTCGAGGGATCGTAGAACGCAGCAATCGCCATTCTTTTTTTGGTGGAGTTCACGACGACCCTGTGCTCCACGCTCTTGTATCGTCCATTGCTAAGGACCTGTAAGATCGGAGCATAGCTTTTTTCTGGAAGAACATGAAGATTACCTCAACTTGGTCGCCTAGATTTGCGATGAACGCCCCTGGAACAGGCTTGACAGCAAACCATCGGCCGTTCTTCCGGACTTGTAAGCCACCGACGTGATCTTCCATGAGCAAAGTTATGGCACCGAAGTCGGAGTGTGATTGTAAGCCGAGAGTTAGATCCGGCTGGGGGCATGGCGGATAGTAGTTCATCACTATGTTCTGGAATGGCTCCCCGATCGCGTCCTCGATGAATTTGGACCCAAGTCCCAGGGACTCGGAGATAGCAGCAAGCAATTGCCTCGAGAGGGCGAGCACTTGAGCGCTATAATCTTCGATCATTTGCCTGCGAGCAAACCATCCATGAGCAAAAGCTTCGCAAAAGTTGGTAAGAATCAAAGAAGTTCTTCACCTGTAAGATTGTTCGTGAGGCCAATTGCTCGAATTCCTCCTCCAAATGGGAAGCGCGTGATGGTTGAGATAGTCTCTCCAATCCAAGACCTGATCGTCCCGAGTGAGCATCCGGTTCGCGTAGCCCTCGGCGGCCATCTCTCCAGGTGGAGTCGAGAATTGGAGCTTCTCACACATCGGCCTCTCGAAGAAAATCTCGGCAGCTCGTCGCATTCCATCCATGAGTTGCAAGGGCACGCCGTGATTCGTAACATGGAAGAAGCCCCAATCCTTACAGGCAGCGCCGATTCCCCTCACAATCTCGGCGCGCTCGCGTTCTGATCCCTCTCCCAGCCCCGAAATATCGATCACTGGGAACGATTCCTGGAAGAATGCGTCGTGCGCTAGACCCGGGCGCTCGCATTCCGGCCGAACAAAGCAGGATGGAATGGATCCGCAGCTCCTCTCCGCGATGGACTGGACGCTCTCCATAGCCATAAACCCTAATCTTTGGATGCTGGCGGAATATTTCCATTTGTTTTTGGGCGGCAATGGAGGAAGGAGGCGATGGCGGCGACACCATAGCCAGCGGCAAGAGATTGAAGACTGGATGCGGCCTGTTCGCCCAGCAATTCAAGGCGCTCATGCTCAAGAATCTCAAGGTCTCGATGCGCAACAAGAGGGCTTTCTTCCTCCAGGTGGCCTCCTCTTTCGGCTTCATCTTCTTGCTCTTCGTCGTCGATCAGGCAGCTATGGCGAGCCGCCGCAGCGATGCCTACTACAGGGACGTGGTCGCAGCGAACCCTAAGCTTGTGGCTGCTATCCCGGCTTGCGAGAGCAGCGCCTTTATCCGGCCGCCGTGCTACGATTTCTTGTGGAGCGACAGTAGTAATCCGGATTTCGCAGCCATCGTGGAGAAGATCATGGCAAACAATCCAGGACGACCGATCCCTTCGCACAAGGTGATTCATTCTTTTGCTTTAAGTTTTTTTGCCTTGTGATATCGAATTTTTCTTTGGTAAGTTTTTCAGGTGAGAGGCTTTGGATCATCCAGCGAAGTGGATTCGTGGTTGCTATCAAACCCAATGGCGTGCAGTGGGGCATTGCATCTCGAGCAAAGCTCCCCAGGTGTGATCTCCTATGGCTTACAATTTAACTCCACTCCCAGCGGTGTTTTGTTGCGTGGAAAGCATGAGAACGCACCCTTTAACTTCCAGCTGCCTTTGCAAGCGGCTGTGGAAAGGGAGATTACTCGCTTTCTAACTGGTACGCTCGAAACTAATACCATCAATTGCTTAGTACCGTGCTTTCGTTTATGCAGGCAAGGATATCGAGTGGAATGTATGGTTTTCCGAGTATGCCCACCCCGATCTTGGAAGGTTTTCCAGTGTTGGAAGCTTTGGTCCTACTTTTTTATTCGCCTCTACTATGTTTTCAGTGGTGATTCTCATCAGCAAAATTGTTTACGAGAAAGAACTTAAGCTCAGGCAGGTACGATTCTAAAAAAATGGTCAAGCAGAAGTTTCTGACGCTTACACTTAGCAGGCCATGTCGACGATGGGCCTGTTTGATTCCGTTTACTGGTTAACTTGGCTTACTTGGGAGGTTATGTTGGCTTTGAGCTCTTCGGCCTTTCTAATTATTTCAGGGATGATTTTCCGGCTGAACTTTTTCTTGAACAATAGCTTTCTCATACTGTTTCTTATATTTTTCTTGTTTCAGTTTAACATGGTAAGTTTCAATGATTTGTCTCTTTCGTTTTAACGAAGTACTGGCAACAGATTGGATTCGCATTTCTGTTCTCGACTTTTGTTACTAAGCTAGAAACTTCAAACTCCATGGGCTTTTGTATTTTTATTTTTGGGAGCTTGACTCAGGTATGCACAAGTCTCTCTCTTTACTGTTTGCTAAGTTCTTCTTTCCATTTAGCTGGTGACAACGATGGGCTTCCCTTACGACCCCCGTTATCCCTCTTATATCAAAACGCTGTGGTCATTCTTTCCTCCAAACGTATTTGCCATTGGACTCATGTATCTTGGAGAGGGAACTGCAACTAAAAGAGACCGAGGTCTTCTTTGGAAAGATGTTTCATCATGTCCTCCATTTCACGTGGACTGTAATATTGTGATGGTAAGCTTGCAATGTTGTCCGCTCTCTAATGTGTTTGATACTGCCAGGCGGAGGTTTTCGTGTGGCTCCTTGGAACATTTTTTATCTGGTTCTTTCTCGCAATTTACTTCGACAACGTGTTGCCTGACGCAAATGGCCTTCGAAAGTCCTTATATTACTTTGTGCGGCCATCCTACTGGGCTGGGAGATCTCGCTGCAAAAGAGGTACGCGAGCATCTTCCAGTAGCAAGTGGTAAATGTGCAATCTGAACAGCTGAAAGAGATGGAACCGTGGATCTGAATGTGGCTGTACAGCTCAGAAACCTCACGAAAGTATTTCCTGGTGTAAGAACAAGAGGACGCTGGAAGAAATCACCTCCTTTTCATGCACTCCAAGTAAGTTATGGCTGTTCATTCTTTTCTGGTTGCAAAATCGTCACAATATTCAGGGGGTAAGCTTGGACATCGAGAAGGAGAAAGTGTTTTGTTTGCTTGGTCATAATGGAGCTGGCAAGACGACAATCATCAACATCCTCACGGGCATTCTTCCTCTAACTTCAGGGGATGGTAATGCTCTTCGAACCAGCTGTAATCCATTCAAAGCGTGAAACAGTCGCTCTTTGGCAGCTCTGGTCTATGGAATGTCAGTTACGAACGGTATGGCTCAAATTCGACATAGCATGGGAGTTTGTCCACAGGTAAGTCAGCAATGTATATTTCAAAAGCTCACCGAAAGTCCACTCGTTCTCAAATCAGTTTAATATTCTCTGGGACGCGCTTACTGCGATTGAGCATCTACAAATTTTTGCCAGCATCAAAGGAATGCAGCCATCAAGAAGAAAAACGGTCAGCTCATCTCCGTAACTTTCTTTTCATTGTTTTGAGTTAGTTCTTTGATACAGGAGTGTAAACGACTCTTGCTCAGTTCTGATCTGTTGGAATCATCTCGGGGGAGGGTCAGCGCCTACAGTGAAGGGATGAAAAGGCGGCTGAGCGTAGCAATAGCTCTTATTGGTGACCCGAAAATAGTCTTCCTCGACGAACCAGTACGTAATGCAATGAACGTAAGTTTTATGTATATAATCCTCTTCCTTTTTGTCAGACAACAGGCATGGATCCAATTTCACGGAGGAAGGTATGGGAGATCATTGAGAAGTTAAAAACAGATCGAGCGATTGTCTTAACTACTCATTCCATGGAAGAAGCAGACAACTTGGGTGATAGTATTGCCATCGTAGCAAATGGCACACTTCGGTGTGTCGGTTCCTCGATTCAGCTGAAACAGCAGTTTGGAGAAGGCTACATCGTCACTTGCAGCGTTAAAAGCACGGATAACAAAGCCGCGGTCAAGGATTTCTTTAAGCTTGTAAGTTTCAAAACACTTCTGCGTTTAAGTTGTAATTCCTGTACATTTCTTCTGTGCAGTACATGGACGTTGTAGCGAAGGAAGAGACCAGGTCTTACATGTCGTTCATTCTTCCGCGCCGAGATGAAAATCTACTTGCGGTAAGACCCAAGCATGCATGTACACAATCTAATATTTGTGACATGTTTCTCTGGAAGGTTTTCTTTGAGTTGCTTCAGAAGAAGCAAGAAGAGCTTGGCATTTTAGACATCCAACTCAGCCTCTCAACGTTGGAGGAAGTTTTCTTAAACGTACTGGAAGGAACAGGACAATCATGCAATTCAGAGCTTAAAGACTAACCCAAGGGTATTCCTCTATGTTTAATTTTCTAGGGCCCCTCTTTGCAGCCTTGCATTCACCTTCTTCTCCAGCATTGATAGAAATTGATTTAATCCAGGCATTCTCCTGCCATTTTACAAGGCTGGCCACAAAGCCAACTTGCCATTACTTCCATTGCAGGTTGTCCATGGTGGTGGACTCATTCTTAGCAGGTATGCCAAAAGCTAAGGACTGTGTTGGGCATTTTTCACCAACTTAGCAGACTTTCTCATGCCCGGAGCTTTGAAAGTCCTTCAGTCAGAAGTGCCTCAACTGGCTCAATGAAAAGAGCCCGTCCTAACTTGGCAATATGAAGTGTTTACAAGCCCAACTAAAGCAAGTACCCATATGTATGCATGCAAGTCCACTACTTGGTGGTATTATCTCATTTTAATTATGGGATATGTCGGCTTTGTTGTTCTTGGTGGATTCTAACCTCAAGGAATAAGTTTCTCTTATTTTCTCTTATTAGTCCAAATGTAAAAATTATATCTAAGATATCCAAGCATATTCAAAAATATTCTTTAATTCAATGGCTGTAATATTCTGCTCTTAAAATCTTCTCTAATTTCTTTCAATTAACATTTATTTTTATAATCTTTCTTATCACTAATGCAAATCAAGTAAGAAATTATTAAGAGGGATCACTTCCAAGTTATCACTAATTCATGAGATGATTTTGGGCTTGCAATAATCAATCACAAAGACCATTAAGAGTTTAGGTAAAAAATACAAGTTATGATTTATTGAGAAGTAGATATGCCATAAATAGTCAAATTACCCTTTATCATCTTTTACATGTTGTGGTATAACACAATTTTTTTTATCATTAATCTATTTCTAACCTTTTGAGGAAATAATGCTATTTTGGTTGTTGTAGATTATTTTATGAAAAACTTATTTCTTCTCAATGAAGTGTAATCAACTAAAGAAAACAACTTAATTTATAAGGGTTTAAATATAAAAAGAAAGGGCCCATTAATAAAACTATACCCTTTTTTCTAATTACTTAAAGGTCTTGGGATAATTAGGATTAAGTATATTTGTGTTTAAGTAATATTTGGTTGGCTGACCTCCAAGAAGTGCAGATTCAGAAGCTTATATTTAGTATTAAAAGATTTCAAATTAGATATTATTAGAAAAAACAATACATCCCTTTTTCTAAATATAAAGGAAAAAAGCCCATGAATATTGTTTTTGGTTTGAGGTCACCCATCCTTGGGTAGGTGACCTCCTAAGAAAAAGGTATTTTATGAGAAACTTGACTCAATAAGAAGTAT